GTACACTAGTTTAGTGTCAAAAAACGTCTTGCATTAAGGAACGGAGCGGAGGGAGTAGTAAATAGGTAATTCGCAATATTGTACCAATGCATTTGCGGCCTGGTGAAATAATTTGTCTGAGTTATATATGATTCAGTAGCACCACAAGTTTGATGAACAAGGAACCAACAGTACGAACGATTGGAAGCACACATGTCGCTTGCTGCGAATCCGCACATTATACGGTTACACAGCCACGATGATGGGAGGAAAAACCTCTGATCGCATGGATATAGCGATGATGCAACGCCGTCGGCTCATCGTCACCGCCACCGCTACCCGTGGGAGAAAGTTCGGCCAAGTTCATCTACTTTGCTATAACTAAGAGTGATGGTTCAGACCGGAAGCGGAGCCCGGTCGGTCCTTGCGGTGGCAGGAGTTAAGCCTAGGATGAAGCAGCCGGCGGTGGCAGCTGGCCATCCTCGGAGTCGTCTCGGTCCTTGCTCTCCTTCCACTTGGCCCAGCCCCACCGCGCCACGAGGAACGCTCCCAGCGCGTACACCTGCAAGAGCAACGAGGCAAATGAATGAATGATGGCTGGTTTCTCTGAGAGCAAATGACCATATACTGCAGCAATATATTCGCTGGTAGATCACAGGAAACTAGAGGCATAGGGGTTATCTGGGAGAATTTCTTGATTTATCTCAACTTAAAGACAGTAAACAGCAACTGATATGATAAGAAAACAGGAATATGCTCTGCGTCAACAAGATGAACCAAACCAGAGCTTCTTACTGAACTTAAAATCATCGCTGTCTCTGTAAGCTGACGGAGACGTAACAACAAATGATGTCTCACAGAGCCTTCAGAGATAGGTAATCGCTTCAAACCCCGGTGGCCTCAAAGGGGATCAGTTGTTACTAAACCCAGTGCCAAGTGAACATAGAATTGCTACATGCACATTATGCATGTCATGCTCGATTTTGGAAGCAGAGATGGTTCGAAAGCGACACCTATAAAGTAGTTTACGTGTGTACCATATACCGAACGCCTAAAGAGAAGCCAACAGTGTAGTTTTGAAGAGCAAAACCACACAGGATACGCTGTGCTGATTAGTTATTGTGTAGCGCCATTTTCATCTAAGAAGCGCAAAACAGAGGATGTGTTGTGCTGGTTTCTCTGAAGACTAACGGGCAGAAATACGCAGTACTACTATCTAACAGGGATGAATGAATGACCACATGGTCGCATACCGCAGCGGAATATTCGCCGGCAGATCACAGGAAACTAGAGGCATATAAGTGGGTTTTCTGAAGGAATGTCCTGATTTATCTGAACCTAAGACAGTAAACACCAGCTGACAGAAAACAGTCAGATGCTCTGCATCAACTAGATGAATCAAACAAAGGCTTCTTCCTGAACTTATAACCATCATCACTGTCTCTGTAAGTGGACGAAGACATAACAAATGATGTCTCACAGAACCTTCACAGGTATGTAATCGCTTCAAACCCCACTACCCCAGTGACCTCAAAGTGGTTAGTGGTCACTAAATTGAGCGTCAAGTAAACATAGAATTTCTGCATCCACATTACACTTGCCATGCTCTGGATGGGTGTGCTGATTTCTCTGAATTTACGACAGTAACCACCAACGGACAGAAAACAGTAATATGATCTACATCATCTAGACGATGAACCAAATCAAAGCTTCTATCTAAACTTAAAATTGGCACTGTCTCTGTAAGCGGATGAATGCGTAACAAATGATGTCTCACAGCACCTTCAGAGATACGTGATTGCTTCAAACCCCAGTTGACTCCGGGCTCAAAGTGGTTAGTGGTTAATAAATTCAGCAACAAGTACATGCAAAGTTGCACTACGTGCACATATACTTGCCATGCTCTATTTTGGAAGCAGTGATGGTAGAAACTTAAAAAGCAACATGCCAGAAAGTAGTTTAGGTGTGTACCACATATCGAACACCTAAAGAGAAGCCTACAGTGAAGTTCTGAACAACCGTGATGCAAGTAGCGCAGGTCCCTCCTGATTCTGCAATCTCACAAGGTTTCTGGAAACAAGATCTCACTAATAGCAAAGACCGAGGCTTGATAGCTGATCTAGCGCATATCCATAGTGCAGTAATTTAATCACCAGGAAATCGCACGAAAATGAAGGTAGGGGTTCTCTCAAGGAATGTGTCGGTTTCTTAACACCGAGACCCAATTGACAGTACATCAACTAGACGAGAAGCAAGTCAAAGCTTCTTATTGGAGTTAAAATCATCATCATCGCCGTGTTAAGCAGTAACACATAACATCAAATTTCCCCCCGGTGACCTTAAAAGCGGTTACTAGCTAGCTACATCAGGGAGCAGTGGGTTTTACAGGCGGAGTCATCGTGACTAATTGCTTCCGCGCCTGCTCCCGTCAACTGAATCCAGCATTATACTTTCCATGCTCGGCTCAGGGAGCAGGGATGGTAAATTCTCATGTTCTGAAGATCAAAAGCAACAAGGTGTGTGCTCAGATGGTTAGATTTTCAGTTCTAAACAACTGATAATCGGCATGTCCCCCCGATTCATACCGAACGCCAATCCAGGTAAGAATCTCCCCCCTATCCGGCTCAGTTGAGTAACCATGGAGGATTTTTGGGGGGTTTCTGGCTCGGCCGTGGGGTAATAACCGGGAATCGGGTGACGGGCGGGCGAGGGCGGCCATGTACGTACCTGCCAGAGGTTGCGGGGGGCGGCCATGTCCTCCTCCACGCCCTCGGCCGGCGGCGGCGGCAGGTCCTCCCCCTCCAGCTTAATCGGCGGCGGCTGCCTGGCCGTGTGCTGCGCGGCGGCGGGGAAGAACCGCACCGTGGACGGCGGGGCCCCGCCCCCGCCCCCGCCGTCGGCCTGCTCCGGCTTCTTCGCCTGCTCCGGCGAGCCCGCGCTCCCGGCGTTGCCCATCTCCCGCCGGCGTTCCCCAAACCCAAAGACTTTCTCTCGGCGATAGGATTCGTGCGGTGCGGTGCGGCTCGGGTCTGAGCTGCGCCGGATTTAATTAAGGGGTTTATTGAGGACCAGTTTACAAAAATATTTGTGTACTACTACTACTTACATTTAAATTCAAATTCAAATAAATCTTAAAAAGTACCTACTCATAGATGTTTTACAAAAATGATATATTCGTAGGTGTACAAGCTGTGAAAAATTGAAATCCTGAATGGTGGAAGAGCTCCTTTTTGAATATTTGAGAATTAGCGTTTTTTAACTTTTAAAATTTTCTAAAAGCAGTTAACACATTCATACGGATGTATACTACGTACGTGTGTGTAAAATTTGAAGATGATATACATTACGATGAGAGCTATCCCAAAACAATCATAAATAGTGCACCAATATATCGATGGCCATGATGGCTTTCGCGGAGCACATGGGACATGTGTCTTTTTCCTTTTTCTTTTTCTCCGTGCATTGATTTGGAACTATAAAGTAGATCTTGCCCACATTAGTTTCTTTTGGAACACTAACCAAATTAGACTCTTTTGAAGGGCTAACCAAATTAGCCCACCTTAGTTTTACACAGACGATCCAACTTTATTGATCAACAAAACATAGTAATTGCACACATTAGAACAAACACGGACAACCCTCAGATAAAAACTGAATGGGAAACGCTTGGAAACATCATGCTGATAATTGGGCACAAGTCGGCCGTCTCCGCTACCGCCGGATCCAACTTTGATTAAAAGGGCGGGCAACGTATCCCTCCCGCACGTGGACAGACCGGCGGCTTGCAACATGGGATCAAGTTGCAAACACGAGACCCTCTATGCTCAACAAGTGTACCTATCGGCCTGCTCAACACCCACCATTTTCCTTTATGTTATCTCCTGTGAGATGATGAGAACAGCTCGGTTTCCTTTTCTTTTTCTCTGGGCGGCAAGTGAGATCCCCTTTCGTCTCCCACCTCTCGTCTTGACCTGCCCTTTTCGACATGGATGCACTCACCGAGAGCTCACCCAAGTTCCATGCACTCCCTCCAAGCACTGCCAACAAAAAGGCCGGGAACCAAGCACCGCACTGGTTGCTTTCTCCCGGGATCGCGACATGGTTACTGTTGTTGCAATCAGAACGTGGGTCTTGTTGCAAAGGGAGCGCTTTTGTGGTGCTCTTATCTAGCCATGGGCCGGGCCGGGCCTAAAAAAGCCCATGACAGAAAACTGAGGCTCAGGCCCTCTCAGGCCCTACCATCGGGCCTACTTTTGAAGCCCAAGCCCGACCCATCTGGTAAAAAGCCCTGAAAAGCCCTTAGGGCTTAGGGCCATGAGCCGGGCCTCTTCCTTAAAATACCAATATGCCAAGCCCAAGCCCGTCCAGGCCCTGCTGGTGGGCTCAAAACTTAGGCCCAGGCCCAGCCCACGGGCAAGCCCATCAGGCCTAGGACCTGGATTTTAGGACCGGGCCTGGGTGGGCCAGGACCAGCTCAGCCCATGATTGCAACATGGCCACTGTTTCAGTCACAATACTAGTCTTGTTTCAGAGGATAAAACTATTTGAGGAAGATTATTAGTCGGTGATGCCGTCATTGTACTGGCAGCCTGAAGAACCAGGTTCAAAATAATCAGGCAGAACTGTTGACCGACGCATCATTCTGACTGACTGAAGCTCACTAAAACTCTGAGATTGACTGTGCTGAAAACTAATACTGTAAACTTCCAGACCGTAATCTCACATCATCATAATCAGCTATGCCGAACAAGAATATATCTCTCTCACTAACAGCAAAAGAATAGCACGGGAGGTGCAACCAACCAACAAAATGTAACAAACACTGCCACCACAGGTATATAATAGATACTCAGATACTCAGTTCCCTTTGCCCGATATAGGGTTACACAATGACGACGAATCTAGGTAGGTAAGAAGATAGGTGGGTGGGGTGGGATCTAGAGGCGCGACAAAAACGACGACGACGACGGTTTGTTTCACTACGATATAAGTATCTGGCTTCCAAAAGATCAAGAGCCCGTCTAGCTTGAAGGCGTCGCCGTGGCCAGGCACATCTGCGTCTTGACGGCCTCCTTGTAGGTCTTGTGCTGGTAGGTCAGCGTCGTCTCCAGCAGGTCCTTGAGAGGGGTCTTGGGGTTCCACCCTGCAGTTTGGAGATCAGACATTAGGTACACTAGTATAAATCTGGAGGATAATGAAAGGCGGAACAAACACGCTGTTGCGTGGTTTCAGTGATGTACACACCTAGCTGCTTGTTGATCAGGGTCATGTCGGGGATCCTCTTGTCGCTGTCGTCGTACCCTTCCCCATAGAATTCTTTCGCGCTCACGTCGATCACAGGCTCCTCCAGCGGGGGCTCTCCTGAGACCTTAGCGTAGACCTGCAGATGAATGCAAACCAAAGATTCAGAAGAGACAGAGTAACAGAACATACAGTTGCTATTGCCGGTTGATGGCATACATACCTCTGTCATCATTTCGGCCAACTCCCTAACAGTGACTTCATTGTCAGGATTCCCAACATTGAAGATATGACCATTGGCTCGAGCAGGGTTTTCCTTTGGCACAAGAAAACAGAGATTTAAGTTCCACTGATGCAGTAAATAATGCCGAGTAACATCAGAAAAAATAGATACTCGCTCCGTCCGGAAATACTTGTCATTTAGATGCATGTATCTATATGTATTTTAGTTATAGATACATCCATTTTCATTCATTTTGATGACAAGTATTTCCGGACGGAGGGAGTAGAACATAAACAGAGCAGACATACAATCATCAAAAGAACAGCTTCAATGGCATCCTTGATGTAAACAAAAGTTCTCTGGGACTCGCCGCCATCGACAAGCTTCAGGGGCTCTCTGCGCAGGAGATTCTGCACATCCATTGCCATGGTATATCTTGTAAGAAAGAAGACTGAACACAGTGCAATGAAGGTATTCAGGGATACGTTTACATACGTTGCTGAAGCAAGCCAAAACCCGAGGAACACCCTCGCTAGGACCATCAACGCCAGGAATGAAGTCCATCCTTGGCCCAATCCAATTGAAAGGTCTCACAATCGTGAATTCAAGGCCATTTTCTGCGCCTTCAGCTGGGGGAAACTCAAACATACATGGTCAGAAAAGGTTTTAAGGGTGCTACTAATGGCACAATCAACAAATTAAGTTCTCCCACTCACCAAAAACAAGCCTCTCGATAAGCTGCTTTGCGCACGCGTAGGACCATCTCTGTTTCACGATTGGACCAAAGATGCAGGGTGACTCATCTTCTGTCAGCACATAAAATTCAGCTTCCTGTTTGAAAGGTACACGGAGCATCAGCTGAACAGCCAGGTGTGATCATATGAATATGTGGCTCTGACATGGGAAATACACATCACTGACGACCAAACAAATTATTGTTACTACTAGGCTGAGTATAGTATTGCTACGAAGACAAGAATCTAAAGACAAGAATAGCAAAAATCATTGTAACTTTTAAGGGTCTTCTTTAAATGATGAGACTCCAACTAAACAATTGAATAAGAAAAGGGGAGTTACTTATGGCAGCACGTTTTGTAAATTACTACATTCACTTGCAGAGCAATATGCAGTGACAGGCATAAGCATGATATAGCTTGAGCCAAAATATATATATTTCAAGCTAAGAGAGCAGACAATGTGAAATGACAGTATCCTTGCTCACAACTATTCCCTGGAAGTTGGTATAGTATGGTACTGGACAATCAACTCGGAAATATTAACAAACAAGCAACATAAGAAGAACAAACACTGAAATACACGGAACATAGCTTGAACAATTAATTATTTGTCAACCTAGAAAAGTAATACTGTCAAATGACAGCATCCTCTCATAGAGCTAGCCCTGTAAGTTACCACAAAAAGGTACTAGACAGATTAACCAATGTGCAACTTAAGACAGACCATCGCTAAAATGTAAAATCAATGTATGCAATCAAACTCTATTCTTCCTTTAAAGTCAAGACATGCCATAACCTTCACACCAAACAACCATTGCAAGACATTATCCCAGTGTCAACCAACAACCAACAAGGATTCAATTAGAATAATTCCACTCCTAACCAACACCAAATCCAGGCCAACCGTTTATTTAAGGACTGTACTAAAAGAACAGGACAATTACAGGTGAATATCAAATACAGGACAATTTAAGGACTGTACCATACAAAGGTACTCCCTCCGTTTCTTCAAAGTAAGTTTGACCAAGTTTATACAAAATAGCATTGACATTCACCATACGAAATAAATATCGTTAGATCCATCATGAAATATACTTTTATATTATATTTATTTAGTGCTGTAGATGTTGACATTTTTTAATATAAATTTGGTCAAAGTTTACTTAGTGACTTCGAACAAATCTAATGTGCGGAGTAAAAAGAAAGGGAGGGAATACTAGACATATCAACCAATGAGCAACTCCTCTTCAGACCGACCATCGCTAAAATGTAAAATCAGCGTATGCAGTCAAACTCTGCTCTTCCTTAAAGCCAAGCCACTCCATAAGCTTCAGGCCAAACCACCATTACAAGACATTATCCCAGTGTCATCCAACAACCAACAAGGCCTCAACTAGAATAATTCCACTCCCAACCAACACCAAATCTAGGCCAACCTTTTATTTAAGGACTCTACTACAAAGGACAGAATAATTACAGGTGAACATCAATCACAATCTAGCAACGTGCACCAAATCCAATCAATTCCACCCCAATCAAACCAGATCAAGCCCGTTTGTTTATTTAACCAACCGAAAAAGGTACCGCATTATCCACTGATGTCACTTGGGGAGTGACACACACAGACGCGTACAGCAAGTGCAGTGCAGACAGATAGTGTGAGTAGTGAGCAAGGGAATGGGGATGTCATGTTCAGTTCATCACCTTGCGGAGGGGGTGGTCCTTGGGGAGGAAGCTGCCGATGGTCTTGCCGTAGACCTCGCACGTGGAGAAGTGGATCAGACGCTTGCTGTTCTCCGAGCAGTACTTGACCTGCGCACGCAAGCAGCACCGACATTCAGACATTCATTCTTTGCTTGGCCACGCCGCAAGCGCCGAGGAATATAATCTTGGATAATGGGTGGAGGTGAGCACGTACCACCGGGAGCGCGTCGATGAAGTTGCTGTAGATGGTGTCGAGCGGGCGCGTGTTGTAGTCCGCCGGCGTGCAGATCGCCGCCAGGTTTATCGTCTTGGCGGAGCAGATCCAGCCACCGACACGCAGAAACAAAATCGTCAGCGGTTTTCTTTCCAGAAATTAATTCAGGGAACGCCAACTGTTTTCTTTTCAAGCGACGAACTCGCTACTTGCAACTGAATCAATCAAGAAACTGAATCCCAGGAAAATCGTTCCCTTTTTCGCAAGAATCAAGAACGCCATTAGAGGGCGGGAGGGGGAGGGGAGGGGAAGGGCGTACCAGATCGGCCATCTTGATGAGGCCCTCGAGGCGGGAGTCGTTCTTGATGTTTAGGCGGTGGAAGGCGATGCGGCCGGCGAGGTGGGGCGGGGG